GTGGGGTCTCCGCCCCGCCCGAGTGGACGGGACTGGACCGCGAGACCCTGGGGCGGGGGGGGGGCGGGGGAGGGAACGGAGAGAGCCCCAGACGTGTGCCCGGGGCGCCGAGCGTGGCCAGGTGGCCCCAATCTGGCGGGATCGGGAACGGGGTGCGGTACCAGGGGATCCCGGGGCGCCAGCAGGATCCGGGTCGAGCAGCTGCGGGGCGTCGGGGGAGCCCGGACGGGAGGAGCTGTGCGGTTCCTCCCTCCCCCGCCCCCCGCAGGCCCCCTCTTCCCTCTTCCCCTCCTCCCCTCCCCTCGGCGTGGCTCTGCGCCCTTGTTTAGGGAAGTCGAGTCAGGCAGACGCCCATCCCCTACCCCCCGCCCCCGCCCTGCTTCTGAGGCGAGATCCCAGCTGCCTTCGCGTACGGTTCTTTTCTTGTCAAACCCCAGCGCCCCAAGGCCGGGCCCGGGCTGCATCCCCGGCGCCCAGGCCGCGGGGCTCATCTCACCCTCACCCCAGCGAGCCCAGGGTGGTGGGGGGGGGGGGCCTCTGCCTTCCCTGGGGCACAGGGCGGGCTGAGCGTGGAAAGGAGGGATTTGAACCAGGGTCTTTGCTGGTCCCTCTGGAAAACCCAGCTCCTGGCCAACGGTGGGGCTGCCTTCCCGCCCGGCCCCGCCCGCTCCGGGACATCTCCAGGCCCATTTTCTAGCAGCAATGTGGAGGCCACCTTCAGAATCTCTCAGACTAGAGAACAGCCCGAGCTCACGATGGCCCCTGAACCCCCCTTTTCACACCCACATACGCCCTCCCCTGGAGACTACTAGGCCCCCTCCTGGCTCCCCAGTCCTCTCAGTACACAAGCCGTGTCATCCCAGGGGGATGACGCCTCTGTGAGGGAGGTCCTCCTTGCCAAGGCTGCTGCCTCCCAACCAGCATCAGCACCCCCAAACCCAGCTTCCAGCCCTCCCTCCCCCTCTCCTCCTACTGTGCAATCATCCTCTTGTCTTGCCCCTCCACTGACAAGTGGCTTCCTCTCACAAGGAGTCTGCTCTGGTAAGTCTGAAGCCTAAAACCCAAGTGTAGCAAGCATTCATAGGGTGCAGCAAGTCTCCTTGGGGTGCACTGAGCATCCATGGCATACGCTGCACATTCCTAGATTGCCTTGAGAGTTCATGAGGTGCACTGAGCGTCCATGGGGAATACTGAGCATCTGTGGGGTACAGTCAGTCATGAAGCAAGTGCTACCTTCATTCTTTTTTTTTTCCTTTTAAAAACATTTTTATTTATTATTTAGTCGGTCCTGGGCTTGAACTCTGGGCCTGGGCGCTGTCCCTCAGCTCTTCAGCCCAAGGCTAACTATCACTTGAGCCACAGAGCTACTTCCAGCTTTTTCTGCTCATATGGTGCTGAGGAATGGAACCCAAGGCCTCATACATGCAAGGCAAGCGCTCTACCACTGAGCCACCTTCCCAGCCACCTTCCATTCATTCTTATTCCCTGAATATTGTCTCCATCAGACTCAGGCCCAGCTGTTCTTGATTGGAGAAAGTGGAACAGGAAGTTTTTTGTTTTTTTTGTCGGTCGTGGGGCTTGAACTCTGGGCCTGGGCGCTGTCCCTCAGCTCTTCAGCTCAAGGCTAGCGCTGTACTGCTTGAGCCACAGCGCCACTTCCGGTTTTCTAGTGGTTTATTGGCGATAAGAGTCTCACAGACTTTCCTGCCTGGGCTGGCTTTGAACCGTAATCCTCAGATCTGTCTCCTGAGTAGCTAGGATTACAGCTGTGAGCCACCAGCACCCAGCTAGGAAATTTCTAAATAAAGACATTTTCAATTATTTGAAGCCACACAAGAGATTAGTTAGTAAACATTTTCTCAACTCTCCCCCCACCCCCCAGGGAGGACATGGGTGAAAATGTACTCAGACACAGGCTGTGGGTGAGCTGTGACCCAGGCATCCAAACTTCTGGGTGGCCCATAAAGGCATCTCCCAGAGGGGAGGGGAGGGATGGGGGAGAGGAGAAAGGGGACTGGGAGTTTGCTGACTGCTGAGAGTGGTGGGGAAGGAAGGAGAGCCTCCCCATTTCTCCCACCTTCCCCTTGTGCCCCTCCCCTGGATTGGCCCAGAGGATTCAGTGCGGGCACTCCCTCCGCAACCCTGGTAGATACCCACGGCCATGCTCCAGGAGTCCCAGGGCCTGGCTAGAAGCTGACTCCAAGGTGGATTCCAGCCAGCCCATGCTTTGCCTGTGGCTGTTCCGGCCAGCTGGGGACACCAGAGTCACCAATCCCCTATTCCAAAGAGTGGAGATTTGACTTAAATTCACCCACCTGAGCATATGAGCCCTTGTGAGAGTCCCTTCGTGTGACTGCCATGCCCACTGCTAGGATGACGCCTGGAAGCCTAGTCTCTGCTTCTCAGTATACGCTCGGCCATTTGCAAGGTTCAGTTTTCAGTTTCGGAAAGGTTTGCTTTGCAGTCTGGATGTGGCTTTGCTTGAGTTATGTAAGACAAGAATGCGTTTCTGGGATGAACTGCACTGATTCAAATGCATCGAGGTTGCACTCAAAAATCAAGTGTCTGCTGGGCAAGGCCCGTCCAGTCAGAACATGGCCACTGAAAGCCAGACTGCAGCTGTGTGGCCATGGTCACGCCTGTAACCCTAGCTGCTTAGGCTGAGAGCTGGAGGATCAGGGCAAAGCCAACCTGGCCAGGTAAAGTCAGTGTAATTCATCTCCAACTAACCAGCAAAATACTGAACTGGGGCCATGGCACAAGTGGTAGGTAAGATGCCAACTGTGAGCAGAAAGGCTGAGAGCCCAACCTGGGAGCAAACCCTGGTACCAGCACCAAAAAAAGGAGGGAGAGGAGAAACTTTGGGGGTCATATGTTCAAGAGTCCTGTCGATGAAGAACCCCGTTCTGAAGATGAGAGGTCCTGACAGCAGGGCAGTTGTCGGGCTCAGAGTCTCACAGTGGCGTCAAAGCCTGGCTCTTTAACTTCGGTTCTGTGTGCACACGCATGCATGTGTGCTGGTGCCAGGGCTTGAGCTCTCACTTGGCTTTCTTGCTTACTTACTGGTGCTTTATCTCTTGAGCCATGCCTCCAGTCCTGAGATGAATCTTGGTAAACTTCTTTGCCCAGTCTGGCTTGGAGCCTCCATCATCCAGCTCTCTACCTTCCAAACTGCTGCAAGTGTGGCTGTGAGCCCTGACTGGTCTGGGTAGTTCTGTGTGAGAGTTCTGGAAATTGAGACCAGAGCCCATGCTGTCTTTTAGACACCCTGTGTAGGATCTGTTTAGCAAGTCCTAGAAAAGGTCAGATAGACTTGGAAGCTGGGCATTGGAGGGCACACCTGTAATCCCAGCACTTGGGAGGCTGAAGGAGGAGGATCATGAGTTTGAGGTCAACTTGGGTTGCATGGTGAGACCCTGTCTCAATACAGTGGCCAAAAAACAAGGGAGGGGGCTGGATTTTGCCTTTTCCCCAGACACTGCCTAGGATGCCTGAGGCTCTCTCTTCCCCCCCAGCCCAATTCCCACCATGAGTGCTGAGCTCAATGTGCCGGTGGACCCGTCCACCCCCGCGTGCACGGAGCCAGGCCACAAGGGCATGGACTACCGGGACTGGGTGCGCCGCAGCTACCTGGAGCTGGTCACCTCCAACCACCACTCAGTGCAGGCGCTGTCCTGGAGGAAGCTGTACCTGAGCAGGGCCAAGCTGAAGGCCTCCAGCCGCACCTCCGCCCTCCTCTCCGGCTTCGCCATGGTGAGTACAGGTGCTGGGCCCCAAACCTCCCCCCCAAACAGAAGAACTGGGGTGGAGGGTGCCCAGGCCCAGAAGCTTTAGCCCATATTCTTTTGTTTGCATAAATCATTTGTCTGGCAAGGGAGGGAATGGGGTCATTAAAACAGCTTCCGCTGGGCACTGGTGGCTCATGGCTGTAATCCCAGCTACTCAGGAGGCTGAGTGCTGAGGATCACAATTCAAAGTCTGCAGGAAAATCCCAAAAGCCAGAAGTGGAGCTGTGGCTCAAGTGATAGAGCAGTACTAGCCTTGAGCAAAAGAAGCTCAGGGACAGTGCCCAGGCCCTGAGTTCAAGCCCCTGGACTGCCCCCCTGCCCCCAAAAAAAGTTTGTCCAGGGAAAGGCACCCATACTGGCCCCATGTGGAGGACCAGCGGCCCAAGGGGCTTGGGCCAGAGCTCCAGGGTGACTGGGTCCACCCAGCATGCAGCCCAGGCCCCCCCTGAACCCCAAGCAGGTATGGCCTGGCTCCCTGCTGCCTCTGCCCTCCGAGTCATCTGGGGACCAGCGGTGGCTACCTCTCCAAGGCCACATCTGCTGCTGGCTCCAAAGTCCAGGACCCATGCCCCTGGGGACATGGTCCCAGCGGTGTGTCAGGGCTCAGCGGCATCTGTGTGCTCAACGTCCTGGCAGGCTACAAGTGGCTTACTTCTTGTAAAAATAATTGTTTCTCCAGCCCCAGCCTCAGATGGGAAATTGGCAGTGCAACTTAAATAAAAAAGTGGATTGAGTGACCTGTGGGTCACACAGCAGGTGTCCGCTGAGTCAGCAGGATGGCCACGGGGGTCAGACACCAGCACCGGGCAGAGATCCCTAACAGTGCACTCGCAGTTTTCTTTCTGTGCTCTTCATCACAGTAGAAAAGAAAATATCTCCCCAGCATAGTGGGATACACCTGTAGTCCCAGAAGCAGAGAGGCCGAGGGAGAAGGATCACAAGTTTGAGGCCAGCCTGGGCTACATAGCAAGATCCTCTCCAAAAAAAAAAAATGAGAGTACAGTATTTTCCTTTTCTTTCTTCTTCTTTCTTCAGTTATGTGGCTTGAACTCAGGGCCTGGACACTGTCCCTGAGCTCTTTTGCTCAAGGCTAACACCCAACCACTTAAGCCACAACTCCACTTCCAGTTTTCTGGTGGTTAACTGGAGCTACAAGTCTCACAGGGACTTTTCTGCTTGGGCTGACTTTGAGCCTTGCTCCTCAGATCTCAGCCTCCTTAGTGGATGACAGGTATGAGATCTGGTCTTCGTAGCTTTTGCCAAGGCTGGTCTCAGACCTCTACCTCCTAAGAGCTGGGATTACAAGCATGTCCCACAACACCTGGCCCAAAGCTGCTTTCTGTAGGCTCTATGTCCTGCCCTATGATCATGTTCCACTCTGTGAGTCCTGCAGCGCACAGCATTTGTTGTGGGCCATATCCTTTACTTAAGGAACAGCTCCCTCAGCCTGTCCCATGTGGTCTGTTGTCTGTTTTTAAATATTTTTCACACAGCCTTGTGTCCGCTGAGGCGCTGCCCAGCTCAGGTCCCCTGGGACTGCTGCGCTTCCGTCCCCCACCACTGCAGGCGCCTTGGGCCAGAGGAGGAGGTTGCCACAGGAAGTTGTAAAATGATCGGTCTTGTAGATTGTGGAGAAAAGGCTTAGAGGCTGGAGATGCCCATGGGCAGAGACTGAGCCTCCCCAGACCTCCTTCTGCCCGCCATCCCTCTCCCTGCGCCCTTGGCGCCTGGGAGAGGCCATGGTGAGAGCTGGGTCCTCCCTGGACCTGGTTCTAGGCCCATCGCTAAAGTGGTCACATGCGGGGTGGGGGAGCCCTCAGGGTTGGGCGTGGTCTGCTGTGGGCAAGTGTGTGGGGCCCGTTGCAAAGTCACCTTAGTGAGTGGAGTGAGCTGGCCCAGGAAGGGCTGCAGAAGTAACATGGAACTTCCTGTTTCCTGTGGCCCCTTTTTGCCCTTCATCAAAAATAAATTTTACCAAACATTGGGGGGGGGGGCGGTGGTGGAACTCAGCAGTAGAGTACTTGCCTAACATGCACGAGGCCCTGGGTTCTATTCCCAATGCTGCTATAATAAACCAATAAAAATGAAAATTACTTATTTCTTCAAAGTTTAGTAATAGATACAGTTAAAAGATGGGCTGAGGATGGTGGCACATGTCTGTCATCTTGGACCTGGGCCTTAAGAGATCTCCCAGCCTTTGGTCTGGCTGAGACACAGTGTAATTCCAGGTATGGGGGCCAGCGGAAGCCTTTGCTTTAACATCACACAAGGCAGCCCAGGCTGGCCTCAAACTCCGGATCCTTGTTTAGCTAGTGTTGCACACCTGTAATCCCAGCACTCAGGAGGCTGAGGCAGCAGGGTTACATGTTTGAAGCCAGCCTGGATAACACAGACCGTCTCAAAACAAAAGGTGAAGCCAGGCACCAGTGGCTCACACCTATAATCCCATTACTCAAAGGAGGGTGAGATCCAGAGGCTCAAAAAGCCAACCAGCCAGAAAAGCCCTTGAGACTCCATCTGTAAAACCAAGAAAGACTGAGCTGGAGGTGTGACCCAACTGGTAGAGCAGCAGCCATCACCAAACCACAGTTTAGCCTGACTCTGATACCATCCCTGGATACCATGCTGCTGGAGAGGCATGGCCTCTGCCCAGCTGTGCTGGAGACTCTGCATCTGGGAAGGCCGCTTCGTCTCCCAGCACCCCAATCCCTGTGCTTTACTCTGTATTGTCCAGGCTGAGTGCCTGGGCGCTGTCCCTCAGTTCTTCAGCACAAGGCAAGTGCTCTACCACTTGAGCCACAGCACCACGTCTGGTTTTTTGGTGGGTAATTGGAGATAAGAGTCTCAAATGGACTTTCCTGCCTGGGCTGGCTTTGAACCCTGATCCTCAGATCTCAGCCTCCTAAGTAGCTAGGATTACAGGCGTGAGCTACCAATGCCTGGCTGTTTTCTGCTTTTTTTTTTTTTTGACAGGATTTTTACCATGTACCCAGGCTAATCTTGAATATCCAATTCTCTACTTCAGTGCTGGTGTATGCCACCACACCCCACCCAAAGTGTGAAATACCTTAGCAGTGAGGAGGGAGTCGGCCTTCAGGCTGAGTGTGGGTGAGCCCCTGGCAGGGGAGCCCACAGTTGCCTGCAGCCCTGCCTTCCCCCGGCCCGCAGGTTGCCATGGTGGAGGTGCAGCTGGAGACGCAGTACCAGTACCCACAGCCGCTGCTCGTGGCCTTCAGCGCCTGCACCACGGTGCTGGTAGCCGTGCATCTGTTCGCACTCCTCATCAGCACGTGCATCCTGCCCAATGTGGAGGCTGTGAGCAACATCCACAACCTCAACTCCATCAGCGAGTCGCCACACGAGCGCATGCACCCCTACATTGAGCTGGCCTGGGGCTTCTCCACTGTGCTGGGCATCCTGCTCTTCCTGGCTGAAGTTGTGTTGCTCTGCTGGATCAAATTCCTGCCAGTGGATGCACGGCGCTCACCAGGCTCTGGTAGCCATGCCGGCTGGCAGGCCGCCCTGGTGTCCACCATCATCATGGTGCCAGTGGGGCTCATCTTCGTGGTCTTCACCATCCACTTCTACCGCTCGCTGGTGCGCCACAAGACCGAACGCCACAACCGTGAGATCGAGGAGCTGCACAAGCTCAAGGTGCAGCTGGACGGGCAGGAGCGCAGCCTGCAGGTGGTGTGAGCCCTGGCTAGCTGGCTCAGGAGCCCAGTCAAGCTAAACAGCCTTCCTGTTGCTAAGTGGCCAGCGTCATCACCAATGGCTGCTAAGCAGCCTAGGTTTGGTTGCTAGGCAGTCAGTATGCACACCTCCAGATAGCTCCAGACCAAAGTTCACCATCTCAGAGCCCAGCCTGGGTTGGCTCTCACCACCCAGCTGCCAGGTCACCAGGACACTGCCTCTGAGTGCTTGGCAGGCTTCCTGGGGCCGGTGGGGCCTGTCCCAGAGATAGAGCCTACAGGCCACAGGATGGGGAGCCAAGTGGTTTCCAGGCCACCCCCTGCAGCAGGGTGCTTCCCAGCCTGGCCAGGGCGTTGGAGGGGATGCCAGGACCTGCAGGGGCCCCGCTGGGTGTGAGCCTGGCCCTGGCCAGTCGACGTCCACTCAAGGAGGCTCACTGGCGCCCTACAGGGCATCCATCCACCTCTGAGCCCACAACCACCCTCCTGGGCCAAAGCCGAAGCAAGCCTGGGTCATCCTGTGTGAGCACAGCTAGGTACGACACCTGGTCCACAGGCGGAAGCTCCACTGCAAGGCATCAGAGGCCCAGGGAAGATGCCGGCAGCAGGAGATGCCACCTGACACCAGCCGTGGTTCTCCCAGCCTTCCCTTTGCCCAAGCATGGGGCAGATGACTCCGTGGGGACAGGGGGGACCTGGGATAGGGGACCAATCATGTAGCAGCCCCAGCCTGTGCAAAGGGCAGGCTGGCCTGGAGATGCCAACTACAGGCCAGAAATCCCATCTCTGGGGGTGTAACCTCATTTTGCAGCGTTCTGATGAGGGAGCCATGCACATGGGCCAGCGCCTGGACTTGCCCTAGTTTCCTGAGTGGCCCTTTTGGTGCAAAGCAGCTCCTAGGCAGCGTGGATGGCGCCGCAGCCTCGCAGTCTGCATTTCACACTTCAAGTGTGGTGCGGGAAGCTGCAGGGGCAGGTGTGAGCGTCGTTTAGGAGGGTTGGGAGCTGGTGGGCTGGGACTCAACTGCAGCCAACCCCTATCTGTGCTGCGGGCCGTGTGCACCCAGGTGCAGTCTGCATGCAGTCGGGCTGCAGGCCCTGCCCCTGCACTGAACATGGAATGCATAAACCAGTAAAGCTGTGTACTCTTTAAAGAAATCTGTTCTAGTACCTGCCATCAAGACCCTCTCCCAGGCGTGGGAGCCCACCTGCAACCCTGTTGCCAGCCAGACCAGGGCTCAAGCCCGCAGCCCCACTGCAGGGTGTGGCCTTCTCTAGAGTGGACATGCCACGCTGTGAGGCTCTGGTTAACCAGATCTCCAAGAATCATGTGGTAGAAGCTGGGCATACACTTATAATCAATCCCAGGGCTCAAGAGGCACAAGCAGGAGGATCATGAGTTTGAAGCCAGCCTAGACTACTAGTTAACATCTCACAAAGCCAAAAGATCCAACAGAGCAGCTCAGTATCAAGTCCCTCCATCTTTCTTCCCTTCCCAGGCTGGGAACCAGGGCCTGACCCCCATCTTCAAGGCAGCTCAGGGCCACGTATATTCTGATCCCTAAGCCTTGTGAAGCTGCTGCCCCTCAGCTTCTGAGGCCTGCTCCCAAGCCTAGTCCTAGGAGTCTGGGACAGCCCCTCCAATGGAGCCCAATGCTGTACAGGTCTCCAGGGAAGGGCCTCGAGGTGTCCTGGTAATGCATGGTGTTTCCCTACTTCATGCGTGCTCTGCCTTCAACTATTGTCCCTGAGCTTTTGTGCTCAAGGCTAGCACTCTACAACTTGAACCACAGCCCCACATCCCACTTTTTTTTTTCTTTTTTTGCTAGTCCTGGGGCTTAAATTCGGCCTGGGCACTGTCCCTGAGCTACTTTTGCTCAAGGCTAGCACTCTACCACTTGAGCCACAGCACTACTTTCAGCTTTTTCTGTGTATGTGGTACTGAGGAACTGAGCCCAGGGCTTCATGCATGCTATTCAAGCACTCTACCACTAAGCCACATTGCCAGTCCATGTCCCACTTTTTGATGGTTGGTTGGAGATAAGAGTTTCACAGACCTTCCTGCCCAGGCTGGCTTTGAACTGCAATGCTCAGGCTTCAACTTTCTGAGGAGTTAGGATTACAGGCATGAGCCATACCATCCAGCTCTTCCCTACTTCTTCGGACTGTAGGGAGATAAAGCAATGAGGTTCCCAGACGCCCTGTACATCCCAGCCCAAGAGGTCAAAAGTGACTCAGGCTAAGCCAGACTCAGAAGTCAGAACTTGAGATCTGTCAGGTCCTCATCCAGTCCTCTGCACCCCCTCAGAGTGGATGAAGGGTTGGTGGCAGGCTGGTCGCACACCCCATGCAGGGAAAACCCTTTCACACAGTGGCAGTTTTCAAAGTCCAAATCCTACCTTTCCAAAGTGTGATATGTAAATAACCCAAACAGCAGCCACAGTTCCAGTGCAAGGGGGTGGACGTGGAGGGTTCCAGCAAGGCCAGCTCTGGGCTGCCCACCACAGTCTAAGTCTGATGGCTTCTCCCAACGATGTCCCCATTCCATCCCCAACTCCACACCAAAGAGTAAAATCCACTGAGCAGGGAGCAGGGAGTGTGCACTGGCGGCCATGCCCGTGAGGTCCGCACCAGCCTGTCCTGCTCACAGGACGGGTCTCCCTTGGAAGGACAGCGCGACACGCAGGAGCTCATGGCCCAGGTCCTGCTGCTTCCCACCGGGGCAGAACTCAGCTGACAGCTCACGGAACGTGGCGCACACACGGCGGGCCTTAATGTGCCTGCGGTGGATGGCGTGGGTCCATTGGTGCCGCGCAGCCCCGGTGAGCACCAGCAGGGAGCGGCGCGGGACAGGGACGGCCACCTCCACCTCGTGGCACAGGACTGACCTGCTGGGGCCTAGCATGCTGTCCATGGAAGCCTCAGGGCTGGCAGGAGGAGCTGGGCTGAGCAGCAGGCTGCCGGACGCCTCCCGGCCCATGGACATCACAGTGGGGGACAGGAGGTTGAGGCTCACCAGCCGCTCCCCCCACAGCCAGGAGTCATCCAGGTGGGGGTCGATGGCAGAGCCCCGCGTGGGGCTGTAGTCCAGGTTACACTGCTCCACAGGCTGGAAGTCCTCCAGCTCCGGGTAGAGGCCCATCCTCCGCACCAGCTCCTGGCTGAAGCTGGGGAGGCCCTGGAAACCGGCCATCCTCAGCTTCTGCTTCCGAAAATTCACTTTGGGGCCATAGTCCTGGGGTGGGGGCAGGAAGGGGTAGAGGATCGTCAGTTCATAGAACGTCACTGCCATGACCACAAGCCTGCACGAGCCTTGGGCTAAACAGATGGACACAGTGGCAGGAGGTACAGACATGGTACGGAATAAATGATAGCCCAGGTGGTGGATGCTGGAGACTAGGCAGGGGAAAAGGACTTGAGGTGGGGTAGGGGTCAGCCTCAATGCCCTAGCTAGCAGAGCTGGAGGCTTGAGACCCAAGTCGAGTCAGCACCAGCTAGCTGGATGTCACCAGGGAGGGCACAGGGGAGGGATCACTGGTTAGCAATCTGAGGCTGCTGGAGGAGGAGGAGAAGGTGGCTGGTGGGGGGCTACAGATGAGGAAACATGCAAGAGGTAAGGGACGTGAAAGAAAGCAAATGAAAAGCACTAGTGTCTGGCAACCTCTAGCAGCCATGGAGAGCAGATTCCTGGCCAGAATTTGCCATTTGAGTCCCACCACCAAGCTGGCTACAGAGAAGGGAATGTAGAAAGAGCCATTTTGGGAAGGCTGAACAATCTGCTTGCCACACGCTCCTCAGGGACCCTGGCTGCCTGCTGCCCGGCCAGGGTGCATGGAGTGTGGCTGCAGAGAGGAGCCAAGGACCAAGTAGCACGGCTCAGCCTAACTCTGCAGTCATACCTGCTTCCTCCGCCCAGACTGAGAGAGCTTCCAAGGGTCTTGGTCCATCAGACACACCATCTCAGCCTCTTCCTCCGGGGTCACAAAGTCCTCTATCAGTGTCACCCCCGGAAAGGGGAAGGCCCAGCCCTCAAAGTCAGAGTCCTCAGCCCCCACAGCCCAGCCGGTATCCAAGCAGTAAAGGAAGCGATGGGTTTTCTGCAAAGAGAAGCAGGTCCTGGGGCTCCTGAGGGCCTCTACCAGGTGCCTAAGCATCCCCAGGCACCTGGCCTGGGGTAGGGGACAATGGTCTCCTTCCCTAAAGCCACCTGGGTTGGTGGCTGGAGCCTGTGGGCCGCAGGCAGAACTTGGACCACAACCCTGTAGAGACAGTTATGTTCTCAATCCTTTTGTCTTTCCTCTTTAATCTTTCCTGCATTCTCCACTTCAAACAAGAGGTGCAGCAAAGTCAGGAGAGCAGCCAAGAGCCAGGCACTGGTGGCTCACACCTGTAATCCTAGCTATTGTGAAGCAGAGAGGAAAGATCAAGGTTAGAGGCCATCCAGGGCAAAAAGTTAACAGGATTCCACTTCAGTAAAGAAATCTAGAAGCTGGGCACTGGTGGCTCACCCCTGTAAATCCTAGCAACTCAGGAGGCTGAAATCTGAGGATAGTGGTTCAAAGCCAGCTGGGGCAGGAAAGTCCATGAGACTCATCTCCAATTATCTACCAGAAAACCGGAAGTGGCACTGTGGTTCAAGTGTCAGAGTGCTCACCTTGAGCTGAAGGGCTCAGGGTCAGCAGTCAGGTGCAGGCTCAAGCCCCACAACCGACCAAAAAAAAAAATCTAGAGCTGTGCGCCAGTGGCTCACATCTGTAATCCTAGCTACTCAGGAGCCTGAGATCTGAGGACTGCAGTCAAAGCCAGCCCTGCCTGGAAAGGCCGTGAAGCTGTTACCTCCAATAAACCACCAGAAAACCTGAAGTGGTGCTGTGTGCTCAAGCAGTAGAGCACTACTAGCTTTGAGCTGAAAAGCTCAGGGACAGCACCCAGGCCCAGAGTTCAAGCCCCATCACCACCACTAACAACAACAAGAAGGAAATCTAGAACCAGGTACTGGTGGCTCACACCTGTATTCCGGGCTACTAAGGAAGAGACTGAGATCTGAGGATTGGATTTTGAAGCCAGTCTGGGTTTCTTATTAACCACCAAAAAGCCAGAAGTGGAGCTGTGGCTCCTGCTAAGTGGGGAGTGCCCAGGCCCTGAGTTCAAGTGCCATTACCGGCCCGTGCAACACGCAGGCACATGTCCTCCCAGGGACTCCGTGACCTTCAGGCCCGCTGCAGGCTCAGCGGCCGCGCGGGGCCCAGCGCTCAGGTTCGGAGCTCCCCAACCTCCTGTGCACACCTGCACAGCCTTCCGCTTTGGCGCACAGGACCCCACCCAGCTCTCTGGCAAGCAGTGTCCGCCTGCCACACCGGCATTGCCTCAGCGCAACAAAACCGGCTGGCGCCAGGGCGATGGTTTGGGAACCGGCAGTCTCCCCACTGCCGCCGGACGAAGCCTCGGGGCACGGCGGGCCTGGTGTTCAGTCCCCTCCAACCCCCTTTCCGTGTGGTCTCTCCCGAGCCCGGGAGGCCCTTGCAACCAAACTAGCCCCTGCACCCCGCGGGGCCTTGCCCGCGAGGGCCCCGGCCGGCTTCCATCCGAGCGGGTCGCAGGGCCAGGCTGGCCCCAGTTTCCTCCTATGAAGAACGGAGTTTACGGAAGCAGGCCTTCTCCCAGCCTCTACCTTCGGGGCGAGCTGCCAGATTGGGTCACCGTGGCGAGGCCGCTCGCAGATGAGACAGGTCCGGATGCCCTTGCAGCCGCACTCCTGCCGGACTTCAGGGGCCTCGGCGGACGCCACGGCGGCCATCACTCCGCCGCCGGGACGGACGGAGCGCGAGCGCGGCACGAGGGTTGCCGGGAGCTGTAGTGCACGTCGAGCACGCTGACGCCTTTGAGCCTCCCGGGCGGCCAGGGCGCGTGCGTGACGCGAGGGCCGCTGGAAGTTGTAGTGCGTGTCAGGGTACGCCGCCACCACTGAACCTCCCGGGCGGCCAGGATGCGCGCGCCCGCGGCGCAAGGGCGGCTGGGAGTTGTAGTGCCTGCCGGGCACGTAACGACGCTCCGTTTCCTTCCGGTGGCCGCGGATGCTCACTCGCATAGAGTGAGCACCGCCTCCCGCTATCGGCTTCCTCGCGCTTCAGCAGCGGACTGCGGCTCCGTTAGTCGCCGGTTAGCGGACGGGGCCAGTCCGAGAGGCCATGAGTCCCCTTACGTCGCAGCTGCTCATGCAGCGTGGCCGACCCAAGACCGACCGGCTGGGGAAGATCCGGAGCCTGGAGTAAGCACCGGTCAGGGTGGGGCGAGTCCGGGGCGCGGGGCTTCACAGACCGCCCTTCCCGGCCCGAGTCGGGCCGGGGATCCTGGCGGAACAAAGGCGGAGCCCCCCTCACCGCCCCGCTCCTCCTGCGGCTCCCTGTTATCGCCCTGGCCGGCTCCTATCTTTCGCGCCAAATGTCTTCGGAGAGGCGCGGGACTGGTGCCGCCCACCGGCGTGCGGGGTCCGCGACCCGCTGCCCCTGTGCGGGGCGGAAGTTGCAGTCTGCCATCCACTGGAGTCTGTGAGGGTCTGGGAGGTGCGGAGGACCCCCTGGGAACCAGGAAAAGCGCGCGCTGCCCTGGGTTCTAAAGTTGCTGAAGAATTCGAAGTGTGTTGCTTGTGTGAATAAATGTACGTTTATGTAGCGTGCTTCAGTGTGTGCTGTACCCAGAAAAGCCAGTAAATGGAAGCCCACCGAATACAAAACCCAATTTGAAATAAGAATGGAGGGATGAACCTGTGCGGTCTTCGCTATGGAATTACCACAGTGAAATCCCTTTATATTACTAATGTATACTAATATAACTCATTTTGAATATATGTAGGGCTGCCTCTGTAATCCTGGCTGTTCAGAGGCTGAAACTTGGAGGATCACACTGGGCAGCCAGCTCAGTATTAAGTTTGCTAGATTCTGTCGCCAAAATGACCGGCATAAACGAAGGTTGGAGGCATTGCTCCACTGATAAAGCCCCAGCTGTATGCAGAACTGAGCAAACCTGAGGCCCTGAGTTAGAAACTCTAGTATAGCAGAAGTTAAACAGATTTCAAGGTGAATTAAAGGGTATCTGTTCGTGCAGGAGCTGCCTGGACAGACAGGGTGGGAGGCCTGTCCACCCTCCCTGAGCTGCCCTGCTTTGCCCTTACCCCAGCCTGTCAGGGCTGAAACTGCTGTCAGAGCACCTGGACCCCAACCTCTTGGGCCGCCTGAAGCATCTGCAGGAGCTGGACCTCTCCAACAACCAGCTGGAGGCGCTCCCTGCCAACCTGGGTCTGCCCCACCTCCGCGTCCTCCGCTGCGCCAACAACCAACTGGGAGATGTCACAACCCTGTGCCAGTTCCCACTACTGGAGGAGCTCAGCCTAGAGGGCAACCCCTTCCTCACCGTAAGTGGGGTCCCCCAGCCCTGTGCCAGTGACCTAGGCTGTGACGAGCTCAGGCTCCACCATCCCTTCACCCCCAGGTCAACGACAACCTGAAAGTCTCCTTCCTCCTGCCCAACCTGCGGAAGGTGAATGGCAAGGACGCATCCTCCACCTGCTCTCAGGTGCAGAGCCTGAACCGAGAGCTGAGCAACCGAGTAAGACCATAGAGAGCCATCTGAGTGGTCTGGGGCAGTGGGCGGCCTGGAGGGGCTGACAGGGGACATTTGGTTTTGTGCCTGGGGCTTGAACTCAGAGCCTGGGTGCTGTCCATATCACTTGGGCCACACCACTTCTGGATGTTTGCTGGTTAAGTAGAGATCAGAGCCTCACAGACTTTCCTGCCAAGGCTGGCTTTAAACAGTGATCTCTGGCTCCTCAATAGCTAGAATTTCAGCACTCAGCTCAGACTCTTTTAAAGCTCAGCTGACGTCAAACTACAGTCCTCCAGGTCTCAGCTTCCTTGTAATCCTTATAAGCACGAACCACCATTGCTTCACTGTCAGTGGACATTTGGGGGACACTGAGGAAGATGATAGGGTTCTTGGTCCTAACAGATGAGAATCTGATTGGTGGTTGAAATACTTTTGGGTATGAGATAAGGGCAGTGATGGGGTGAAGCTGACTCAGACACATTGTATACAACATTGTATACACCTGTAGCAATTTCAACACCTTCCCCCTTGTAAAACCAACATACATTAATAGCAAAAGAAGCAAGCCATGTATGGTTGCTCACACCTGTAATCCTCACTATTCAGGATGCTGACATCTAAGGATCATGATTGGAAGCCAGCCCCAGCAAAAAAAAAAGTCCACAAGATAGTATCTCCAATTAATCTGCCCAAAAACTGGACTGAGGTGTAGCTCAAGTGGTAGAGCACCAGTCATGAGTGGCAAAAAAAAAAAAAAAGCCCAGTGAGAATAAGAGGCCCTGGTACTGGCACAAATAAGAGAGAGACTCTGGTTGGACAGCTCGCTGCAGGTGGTGCCTCAGCCTGCCTGTGGTGTATTGGCAGTGGGCTGGGTCTGGATCTGGTTGTGGTTCCTCTCGTCTTAGGTCACAGCGTACTGGGAGAAGTTCATGGCAGCTCTGGGCCCTGAGCAGGAGGCTGAAAAAGTGCAGACTGACTTTGTGAACTCTGCTATCAGGGATGTGCACTACGGACCTGAGTCTCTCCGGGAGTTCACCCAGTGGCGGGTATGCCCTCACCCATCGGCCTACCCCATCTGCTGGGCGCTGAGCTTCCTGGCTCTTTGCTGGTTTCCAAGGCTTTCAGCTTCCCTGAGGGGCCTGGGGGTGCATGGGGAGTAGGGCAGTGCGGGGAGGCAGCGCTCCTGCCTGGACAGCTTCTCTCCTCCATGAGAGGAGAGGGGCCAGTCTGTCCCAGCCTCCTGAAGGCTTGGCCCACCCAGGTGCGGATGATCTCGGAGGAGCTGGTGGCCTCTGGTGGGACCAAGGCATGTGAGACAGATGCCCCAAAGAAGCCTCCAGGAGCAGCAGCTGCTGGCAGGCCCCGGGTGAGAGCGACTGCACGTGGCCCTGGGAGCCTGCCCTGGCCCTGGCTGCCTGGAAAAGCGGCTGGGGGTGGGGACACACACACAGGAGCCCAAGAGCGAGCTGCCCATGCTGTGCTGCGATGCCCAATGAGACTAGAGTGCTGATGTGCTCTCTGACCCCTAAACTCCCCTAGTATGCCCTTTAATCCCACACCCAGGGCCTCATTAGGCCCTGCCTCCACAAGCTAGTGACCACGCCTTTTAATCTATGGGCCTCAGGGGGCCATTTAAGATCTAAACCACATGCCACACAAGTACCCTCTGTGACCCTGGCCTGGCCCTGCTGTGGCCTGTGACAGAGCAGATGGGGCCCCAGGCCCGGCCCAGGCTCACCAGGCCCCTCCACAGGCCAGGCTGGCAGCCTTGAAGCGACCACATGATGTCCTGCTCGGCGCCTCTCCCACCAAGCGCACTAGTACCACACCATCCACCAAGGTGGAGGGTGGCCAGGTAAGCCCGCAAGGTGGCAAGGAGAGGTGGGGAGCCGGGCCCGGCATAGCCGTGACCCCTGCGCACCCACAGTGTGCCCCGCAGCTGGAGCCCCTGCACTTCCTGCAGTGCCACAGCAGGAACAACAGCCCTCAGGACCTGGAGACGCAGCTGTGGGCCTGCGCCTTCGAGCCTGCTTGCGAGGAGGGTGAGTGGGGGGCTGGGGCAGGCTGTGCTGGGCCCTGAGGAGGAGCAGTGGGGCAGTTGGGCATAGGAGTCATCCAGGAGAAGCCACCAGGAGGATGCTTGCAGGAAAAGCTGTCATTCAGCTGGTCCCACCCAACAGGGCACGAGGGGACCACCTCCCAAACAGTGGCCACGTGCGGCGGGGAGGCTGTGTGCGTGATAGACTGCCAGACGGGCATCGTCCTCCACAAGTACAAGTCACCAGGCGAGGTGAGCGTGTATGGTGCACCCTGGCTCTGCCCTGGCCTGTCCCGTGGGCAGGCTCCCACATGTGCCCCTGCTCCTGACGGCTCTCCCCATCCTGCCAGGAGTTCTTCTCTGTGGCCTGGACCACACTGACAGTGGTCACACAGGCGGGCCACAAGAAGCGCTGGAGTGTGCTAGCCGCCGCGGGCCTGCGGGGCATGGTCAGGCTGCTGCATGTGCGAGCCGGCTTCTGCTGTGGGGTCGTCCGGGCCCACAAGAAGGCCATCGCCACTCTCTGCTTCAGCCCTACCCGAGAGACACATCTCTTCAGTAAGACCTGCCTCCCCACCCTGTGCCAGGTGGCCTCCCCAAGTGACGGGTGCCAGGTGGCCTTGGGAGAAGTGACAGCTTTGGATCTCAGGTTGATCCCCAGACTGCCAGGTGGACTTGGGGTTCCCCAGCAACCAAGGGCAGCTGTGCTCCCCTGGCCATGGCTTGGGTCACCCTGCAGGCCCCTGAGTCACCCTCGTAGCCCACCTGCCCTGTCCCGGGCACCAGACCCAGCCTGCAGGAGGGCACAGAGCCTCCTCAGGGACGCTGCCCTCCCCTCCAGCGGCCTCCTATGACAAGCGGATCATCCTGTGGGACATCGGGGTGCCCAACCAGGACTACGAATTCCAAGCCAGGTGAGGCTGGGGCAGGGATGGTAAGCAGCGGGGACAAGCGGGCAGCAGGGCCCAAGTTGACACCTGCTCTCCCCTCGCTCACGCAATTGGCAGCCAGCTGCTCACGCTTGACTCGGCCTCCATCCCACTACGCCTCTGCCCTGTGGCCTCCTGCCCCGATGTGTATCTGCTGGCTGGCTGCGAAGGCGGCTGCTGCTGCTGGGACGTGCGGCTGGACCAGCCCCAGAAGAGGAGGTGAGGCCAGAACGGGGCGCCCAGTCCTCTGGGTTCCCACAGCCCCTGCCTGTAGTCTGCTGTCCTCCGGGCCTCTCCTCACCCTGACATTGGGCTTTGCCCGCACTCGCTGCCTTACCAGCTGCTGCTCAGCAATGGGACTTCCTGTGTGCTGATGCACAAAGGGTTCAGCAAGGGCCAGGCATGGTGGTACATACTCAAAACCCCAGCGACACAGGAGGTGGAGGTAGGAGAATCTCGGTTTGAGGCCTGCCTGGGTAAAAGGACAAGACTGTCTGAAAACTAAAGCAGGCAGGTAGAGATGTGACTCGAGTGGGGACAGCCTGCCTAGCAAGTGCACGGCTTTGAGCTCAAAGCCCAGTACAACAAAAGAAGGGGGATAGTGACCTTCATCCTGTAGCCAGTGGGGGACAGGGAGATGTCTGGGCAGGGCGGTGGCTCTGGAAATACCACTGAGGCTTAGTGGCCATGGGCACCTCCCAGTCTCAGACAGTGCCCGAGGTCCCTGCCTTACTAACAGCTGACTCATATTCCAGCTGCCAAGACAACCTAGTGCAGGCCCCTGCAGAGAGCCCACTGCCCAGGCAGCTTGGGCCCAGGCTGCTTGGGTGCGCTGCAGGGTGGCAGCCAGCCGGCTAGTGAAGTGAGTGGAAGTGGAAATGAGGGCTGAGGTTGCTCTGCTGGGGCGTGGGGCTAGGTTGGTGGAGCAGCAAGGTTATTTCATGGGGGAGGTGGCCTTCCCTCTGTCCCCAGCTCTGCTTTTCCCTCGTCTTGTGGTACAGCCCCTTCCTTGGGTTTATCTGCTGCTCTTTGCCCCAGTGCAGCTGCCTGGGCCTTAGCCTGTCCCTTAGCCAGGTTCCAGGCAGACTGCAGCTCTTGGCTGGTCCCCCCCCCCAAGGTGGACCCTGCTCAGCACTGGTTCTGGTCCTGGTCCTGGCAGGAGACTGCAAGCACCCATCATGCTGGCCACCAGGTGGCCTCTGCCATTAGTGGAACTGTGAATCAAGTGATAGAGTGCTAGCCTGAGCAAAGCAGCTCAGAGGCAGTGCCCAGGCTTTGAGTTCAGGCCCCAAGATAACACAGAAAAAAGCAGCACCCGGGTGCCCTTCTCTAACCTTCACGAGGGTTAGGGAGCAGCCTCCAGTGCCATCTGCCATCAACAGGGCATGCGAGGCGGAGTTCACCTTCTCTGAGGGCTCGGAGACAGCCAGATGCAGAGTGGACGGGCTAGCATTTGTGAACGAGGACATTGTGGGTGAGTCCGGCTAAGGGCTGCCCGTCCTGGGTCACGCGGTGGGGGGGTGACTTTACCCTAGGCTGCACATTTCCATGGGGAGGGGTGGAGAATGGTAACAACCCATCCCCACCCGTGCAGCCTCCAAAGGGAGCAGCCCGGGCACCATCTGCCTGTGGAGCTGGAAGCAGACATGGGGTGCCCGCGGCGGCCAGTCTGTGGTGTCTGTGGTTATCCTGGCTCATCTGCAGTGGTCACCCACCGAGCTGGCCTACTTCTCACTCAGCACCTGCCCTGGTGAGCATTGCCCCTCCTCCATCTCAGAGCCCACCCATCCCACTCTTCACCTTTTGGGGCCCTGCCCACCTTAGCTAGGGACCCATCTCTGTCCTGGCAGAACAAGGGCTTGTGCTCTGTGGTGACGAGGAGGGCAGCGTGTGGATCTACGACGTCCAGCACATCCTGAAGCAGCCGCTGCTGCCACCCGCCACCCCCCACGCCCCCACTCAGGTACTCGCCACCCTCCCCAAGACCCCACGTGGTACTCGCCACCCTGCCCCAGACTGAGCCCCTGTGCCTGGCACACATTCCTCTCCCCACCAGATCCTCAGATGGCCCCAGCCTAGGGCACTCGGCCAGCTGGTGACGAAGACCATGGTAAACACAGTGGTGGCCAACGCTGCCTTCACTTACCTCACAGCACTGACGGACTCCAACATCGTGGCGATCTGGAAGAGGCCATAGCTCAGCCCAGCCCCAGCCCCAGCGGGGACGGGGGTTCTCACTCAGGGTTAATTAGTGGTAGTCTTTTATCAGTGAATATTTTTATTAAACATCATTAAATTTTCTGCTGTGTTCAGGAAGCCTATGGAGAGCTGATACAAGGGTCCCATCACGGGCCTCTTGTGATCAAGTCAAGCCCAAAGTCAAGAGTCACCGCAGTCTTAAGTGTGGCCCCCAAGGGTCACATGTCACCTGCCTCCCCTACACCAGCTCTTCGCTGTCCACTCTCAGGGAGACAGTAGTCCATGTACAGGACACCAGGGGTGGGTGGGGCCAGTGGACTGGCCCTGTCCATGTCAGAGGGTCTTCTGGGTGGGCACCAGGTACAGATGAGCAGAGCCACCGTGCCACTACTCTATCCCTTCCTGCTTGTCTTTGATGGCCACCTAGCAGAGGAAGAGCCCAACACAGCTGTAGCCTCCACCCCACAGCCCTCAGCACCCAGTTTCAGTACTCCCCCCCCAACTCCCCCCAAACCACCAGAGCCTGTCCTGGATGGGCCTGCAGCCACCTGCCCTCCCCATGCAGCACCCTCACCCGGAAACGCTCCTCTAGCAGGGAGAGCTCACTGATGAGGTCAGTAATGGCATTGGTGAAGGCTTCCTGGGGGCTGTAGTCAGGGGTGGTCTGCACACGGATGATGATCTTGTGCTCCAGGGGGTGAGGGACCTTGTAGCCCGCAAACAGCACCTGCGGGTCCTTGAGCAGCTGTCTGAGGGACAAACACTATGTGGGGACCCAACATACACGCCACCCACCACAGCCACAGCTCCACGGGCCAGAACACAGGGCCCCAGGCTCGGCAGGCAGGCAGCAGAGAGGAGGGTGGGCTCAGGCATTAGTGATGGAACAGGGTATCAGGCTGGCACCTTCTGATCCATGGAGCCATAAGGAAGGCAGAATAGCTACCCTGCTCTGTCCTGGGCTCTGAACACTTGTCTCAAGTGATTATGGTCAAGTATGAACAAATGGCAGGTGCTGGAAGAACTGGGCTTACACAGCATTTGGCCAGGAGATGAGTCCGCGTGTTCTGTGCACAGACCATGGCCTACTGCTCCCAGCCTCCACTGCCCCCCCTCTCTCAGGCCCATGCCTCAGCACCAAAGGGAAGAGCCCAGACTGCAGCAAAAGGCAAGTCCCCGTGTCCCTATGTGCAGAGCCAAGCCTTTGCTCATGTCAGCTGTGCGGTGCCGCTCAGGGCCCTGGAGAGCCCCAGGCTGCCTCTCATGTTCATCCCCCAGTGGTGCCACATGTAGCTGAGGTACAGATGGGCTGACATCAACCCCGTCTCAGAGCTTGTGAGCAGACATATAAACAATATAGAATGAGCCTTGTGTGAACCCACCTGGGTCAGCCTCATCTGGGGAGAAAGTGCTAGAACTGAAACACCAGAACAAGCACAGAGAATGACTTCCGGTGTCTAATGCAGAGCTCAGCCAGACCATCCGCCCCACCCAGCCCAGAGCACAGGCCTGCAGCTCACGACTTAATGATGTTCCCAAGGGTGTGATCCTCCTTGTTGATGGTGAAGAGACAGGCGTTGGGCACTTTGGTGTCCTTGTTGATGGTGATCCTGTAAGAGGCAGAGCAGCTGGTGAGGACAGGAGCTCCCAGTCCAAACCTGGCCCTGCCTCCGAAATAATAACAAACTAAAGGGCTGGAGGCATGGCTCCAAAAGTGTGCAAGGCAGTAGGTTCAAGCTCATTAGTGAGGCAGCGAGGCAGGCATGAGGTTCCAGATTGCCAGGAAAACCTGATTACCAGATAAAGACCTGTTGAGAGTTGATCTGCCCACAAACAGCTTTTCCTGACAAATGTCAGAAGTCACCAAATGGGTCCCATCAGCTGTAATCAGCAGGGTGAGATTAAGAATTTTGGTTCAAAGCCAGCCAGGGCAGGAAAGTACATGAGATTCTTTTTTTTTTTTTTTTTGGGTCCGGTCATGGGGCCTGAACTCTGGGCCTGGACGCTGTCCCTCAGCTCTTCAGCTCAAGGCTAGCGCTCTACCACTTGAGCCACAGCACCACTTCCAACTTTTTTCTTCTTGCTTATGTGGTGCTGAGGAATCGAACCCAGGGCCTCAGGCATGCAAGGCAAGTGCTCTACCACTGAGCCACCTTCCCAGCCTGAGTACATGAGATTCTTATCTCCATTTAACCACCAAAAACCTAGAAGTGGAAATGTGTTACAAGGGATAGCATGCTAGCCTTGAGCCAAAATTCTCAGGAACAGCTCCTGTAAAGCCACACAGCTACGCCAGCTAATTTTCAACAAAGAAGCCACAAAACATCCATTGAAGAAAAAGCCTCTTCGGGAATGGTGCTGGGAACACTGGATATCCACACGTAAGAGGTTGAAACTGGCCTCAATCTAAAGACAGTCTAACTGGGGCTGGGAAGGTGGCTCAGTGGTAGAGTGCTTGCCTTGCATGCCTGAGGCCCTGGGTTCGATTCCTCAGCACCACGTAAGCAAAAAGAAAAAAGCTGGAAGTGGAGCTGTGGCTCAAGTGGTAGAGCACTAGCCTTGAGCTGAAGAGCTGAGGGACAGCGCCCAGGCCCAGAGTTCAGGCCCCACGACCAGACCCCCCCCCCCCAAAAAAAGAGAGTCTTAAGTGCCAGGCAAGGCTGGACCACAGCCTCACACTTGGCTCTAACAGAAGAGCCGGCGTTGCAGGGGCCTTGGGATGGACCCTGTGCTGTACCAGATGACCTGCAGCCCCTTCACAGTTTTTGTCTCGGCTAGGGGAGGAAACCCAGGGCCTGCGCAGGCCGAGCAGGCGCTGTACCACCCAGCGTCACAGCTCCCGTCACAGCTCCACAGCTGGCTTGTTGCTGGTTAACTGAAGAGTCTAATGGGCTTTCCTGGCAGGGTTGGCTTTGAACTGTGATCCTCAGATCGTGGCCTAAACCAAGATCTAAGCACCTAAGCTTACAGGTGAGAGCCCCCGGCTCCTGCACTGTTTCTGAGTGTGTGCGTAGCTCGGGGTAGTCTCGAACTCTCGATTCTGCTTCAGCCTCCCGAGCTCTGAGATTGGGAATGACAGGAATGAGTACCTGCACTAGTTATCGCTGCGAGAGCACGGAAGGAAGGAGGCGGCAAGCCCAGAGGGAAAGGGCTTTGGAGATGAGGACAGTCACCCAGCTTCGCGAGCCTCAGTTTCCCCTCTGCAAAGTGGGCCGGGCGGCCGCGGCCTCCGAGCACCGCAGCCGAGGGCCGGGCGGCCGCGGCCTCCGAGCACCGCAGCCGAGGGCCGGGCGGCCGCGGCCTCCGAGCACCGCAGCCCTGTGCCGCGCGGCCGCGGCCTCCCGGCCGGACGGGACTCAGACTCTGCGGGCCCGCCCTCCAGCTCCCGCCCCGCCCCGCCCCAGCCGAGCCCGCTTACTTCTTCTCGCCCTCGAAGAGCAAGAACGACTCGAAGGCCGGAGGAGCGTTCATTCTCCCGCTCCGGCCGCGTCCAGCTCGCCGTCCGGTCTGCGAGCTCTGAAACGCGATCACTTCCGGGGCGCGCGGGCGCAGCCGAGTTCGTCAACATTCACCGCCCCCTGTCGGGCTGGAGGGCCCGGCGTAGGCGCGGGACCGCGCGCAGTCTCTGCGCATGCGTCGTCCTCCGCTGACAGGTGTAGGAGACGCTGCGGCCCCGCGCCGGGGAGGTTCACCAGCCCGGAGACCCCTTGCCTGAAGTCGGGGCGCCAGGAGGAGGCGAGACAGCCATTCCTGTCCTCTGAGGGAGGCCGACGTCCGCCGCTGTAGTCTCTCCATGCGAGGCCAGTGCAGCCTGTAAGCCTATCTACTCCCCGTTAGCGGAGACAGGGAGTCAAGGGTTCGAGACCAGCACTGGTAGAAGTTTGTGAGAAGACCTCCCCCCCATCTAAGGGGGCTGGGTTTGTCGGTCCTATCTGGGCACACAGCAGGGCACGGCCTGGCCATGTTAGCGTCCCCTTGCAGCTAGGCTGACGGGAGCAAACCACCACACAGCTCCCCATTGACAGTAGGTCTCAAGGACTTGGCTGTCCCGGCTGGCCTCGAACCACAGTCCTCAGTCTAACCACAGTCCTCAGTCTTTGCCTACCGTGCAGCTAGGTAGGATTACATGTTTGAGTAACTGCTACTTGGCTATTTCTTTTCTTTTCTTTTTTGTCAGTCCTGGGGCTTGAACTCAGGGCCTGGGCACTGTCCCTGAGCCGCTTCTGCTCAAGACTAGCATTCTACCACTTGAGTCACAGAGCCATTTCCAGCGTTATCTGTATATGTGGTGCTGAGGAATTGAACCCAGGTCTTCATGCATGCTAGGCAGGCACTCTACCACTGAGCCACCTTCCCAGCCCCTACTTTTGTTTTTTAAATGGGTTCTCCCTAGGTAGATCAGGAAGGCCTCAGACTCAAGATCCTCCTGCCTCAGCCTCCTAAGTACTAGAATTATAAGTGCTGCTGACAGCAGCTTTTTAAATATGTCATTGTAGTAAAATACATGTAACTAGTAGCTTGTCATTTTAAACATTTTATGTGCTCAGCTCAGCGTGATTAATCATATTCAGTACATGAAAAATATTCTACAATCCAGCACCAAAATCTCTTCAGTCATCTCAGTCCCACCCACCCACCCAGGTACAGCCACCAGCACTCTGAGATATAGGTATCTATATCTATATAAAATTTATTTTTTGTCGGTCATGGGACTTGAACTCTGGGCCTGGGTGGTCCCTCAGCTCTTCAGCTCAAAGCAAGCACTCTATCACTTGAGCCACAGAATCACTTCTGGTTTTCTGAGTGGTTAATTGTAGATAAGAGTCGCACAGACTTTCCTGCCCGGGCTGGCTTTGAACGGTAATCCTCAGATCTCAGCCTCCTGAGTAGCTAGGATTAAAGGGGTGAGCCACTGGCACCGGATTTTTTTTTTCTGGTCAGTCATGGGGCTTGAACTCTGGGCCTGGGCGCTGTCCCTAAGCTCTTCAGCTCAAGGCTAGCACTCTACCACTTGAGTCACAGCGCCACTTTCGGTTTTCTGGTCGTTTATTGGAGATAAGAGTTTCACAGATTTTCCTGCCAGGGCTGGCTTTGAACTGTGATCCTCAGATCTCAGCCTCCTCAGTAGCTAGGATTACAGACGTGAGCCAGTGGCGCCTGGCTCTGAATGTTGTTTTAAATGCTGCTATCTGAACTCTTAGCCAAATCTCAGACTCCTCCCTCCATGGATCTTAATTGCAACCTTCCAAGCAAACCACTATTATTGCCTGACAGGCAGTGAGTGATCAAATTAATTAACATATTATATGTATGTTGTGAGCAGTGGCTCAAGCCTTTAGCCTAGCTATTTGTGAGTAGAGGTCAGGGGATCATGGCTCAAGGATAGCCAGGAGCATGGTTGAGCATGGTAGTGTGCACCTGTTATCTCTGCTACAAGGGATGCTCAATGGCTGGACACACTGGCATACTCCTGTCAGCCCCAGTGACAAAGGGAAAAGCACAAATAGAAGGATCCCAGTCAGGGTGGGCCTGGGCTTAAATCCTAGCTGGAAATAAAAGAGTAACTTAAAACCAAGCATGAGGCCTTGAGTTCAAATCCCAGCACCACAAAGAAACAAATGAGTGGATCTGATAATGGCTTCCAGGTGAGGAGAAAAGTGAGCAGGTGCAGGTGAGACACAGAACAGCCCCACCCCACAGGAGGTGCTCCTACCCCTGCTGTGCTGGTGGGTGTGAGGCCAGGGCCAAGGGCCCTGGGGTAGGCTTTACAGTGGGGCACTCAAAGGGAGGGCACTGGCTGTGCCCTGTTTGGAGGCCAGGAGACTTCTTTGCCCAGGGTCCCTGCCCACCCACCATCTAACTACAGGAGCTGCAGCCTGGGCACTGGAGCCCCACCTCCCAGGGCCAGTTCAAATGTGAGATCCAGGGGTGTCCCCTCTGCCCCACTGCTCCTGGGGGGCGGGGCATGGCCTGGTATGTGGCCCTGGGGCAGGGAGCCTAGGGGTCCACAGCTTTCAGCCCGGTGAGTCCTCAGCCCCGTGGGAGGAGACTGGACTGGATTCAAGCTGGGGACAGAAGGCCCAGACTGGGCAGTGGTGACGCTGTGGTAAAAAGCCCCCTCTCCACCCGCTCACCAGGGGTGCCAGGAGCCAGCTAGGCTAGGGTGGGTGACAGGAGGTGAAGAAGGTGACAGGGCAGGGACAGGCAGCCTCAGGGAGGGAAGGGCCTTCTCCCCACATGGAGCCAGGTTGCCCACAATATGGCTGAGGGTTCGGTCCTGCAGGGCAGCCTGCCAAATACCCTGGAGTTTGGGTGGGAACTCTGGGCCATGGCAGAAACCATCTCCACACCCACCCCATGGGTTCGAAGCAGAAATGGAGGAACAGAGCGCAGCTAGGATGGTGGTCCCGGTCCATAGGCCCCAGCAGCCGAGGGAACAGAGGCTCCAACCCAAGAGCCCAGAGCCTTGGCAGTGACTACAGGTTTATTACAGCACCGTGACACTGCCCAGGGCCCAGGCAGCAGCCTGGGGATGGCCAGGGAGCCCAGGGCAGGTGTGGGGGCCTGGCCCTCCTGCCTCACGCCACCCCTGACATCCAGCCGTTGTCCTAGGTGGAGAATGTGGGGTGCGTCGGGGAGCAGCCAGACTTCCCAGGGGAGCAGGGGCCACCCACAACCCCCCACAGATTGCAGATGGGCCAAGATCCAGGAAGGCCTTGGGTGTGCCCCTCGGTGAAGGCGGCTGGGGCGAGGTCCCAAGTGCATTGGGGTGCTGGGGTCCCTGGCAGGGTGCTGAGCACAGACCTCACTTCTGTAGCTGTAGGAAGTGGCAGGGCTCTGAGAGGTGCAGGCCACCCGGGCTGTGGCCATGAGCTTCCCGCAGCTCCTGCAGGACATGGAGCAGCTGGGCCAGCGAGTCTTCAGGGACTAGAGGCAAATGCAGTGGTGAGGTCAGGTTGGATTTGGGGTGGAGCAACTTGAGCGGTGCTCAGACCACCAAGCAGGTGCCAGCTGGAAGGGACCTACCTTCTTTAGGCCCTGCCTCTGGGTCCCTACGCAGTTCCAGATGCTTCTTCCTGTGGGGAGGACATGGTGAGCCACCACAGCCACTAGGCCAGGGAGGCTGAGGCACCCGTGGGGGCCTCCTGAGCTAAGAAGGCTTGGTGGGAGGGGGGGAAGGGAGAGGGGGGGTCTAGTCTGGATGACCCAGGCTAGCCAGGCACTGGTGGCTCACGCCTGTAATCTTGGATACTCCAGGAGGCTGAGGACTGAGGATTGTAGTACCAAGCCAGCCAGGGCAGAAAAATCCCTCAGACTCCTATCTCCAATGAACCAGCAAAAAGCCAGAAGAGGGGCTGGGAAAGTGGCTCAGTGGTAGAGCACTTGCCTTGCATGCCTGAGGCCCTGGGTTTGATTCCTCAGCACCACATAAGCAAAAAGAAAAAGCCGGAAGTGGTGCTGTGGCTCCAGTGGTAGAGCGCTAGCCTTGAGCTGAAGAGCTGAGGGACAGCGCCCAGGCCCAGAGTTTAGGACCCGTGACCGGACCCAAA